TGCCTCGACACCCTCAGTGCCTCATTATCCTAGGCACTTGGTTCTCTCGACTACGACATCGCGCAGTGAGACAGTCGATGAGACGCAATTATATCATGTGTTCAGCAGGACGTTACTGGAAAAGGGCAGAACGAACACGCCTGTGGCGCGTTATGGAGACTACTTTTGCTCTACACCTGTAAGATCAGAACAGTTTTCTCGACCGCGGCCCATATGCACTTCTTAAAGCTGCTTGTCACATGAATTCCGTGTAACTATCCATCAAGAAACGAAAAACAAAACGGTCGACGAAAAACAATAATTTGACAAAACTCTCGTGCTTCGTAGAGCAAAGTTTATTCGATCTCAGAGGCATCGGCTTTGTCGCTTACTTATACGTCACCCACCTGAACACTCGTGCATAGTCCTATCACCGCGCCTGGCTAAGTTACGCCTCCGACTTCCACGTCAAAAGATAGCCATTATCATCAAGTGCTATTCATCAACTTGTATATCTGGTAAGAGCATATCAGACGCTTTCTGCAAAGTAAAAAAGTCATTTACGACGAAAGTACTGCTACAGAGATTTTGTCCATTTAACCGCTTTATAGCAAAGTTATTATTTTATAAATATCGCCAGTGATGGTAAGCGACGTGCAACACTTTTCCATCTGGCAGGGCTCGGACCCAAATTTCACCCCCGACGTTTCTTTTGCCACCACGCTTAATACTTCCACGCAAAAATTTTGTACATCGCTCAACATCATTGCGTATATTGCTACAAACTGATTAAGAAAAATATACCGTTCAAATCACTTGATATCAGTTATCGAGTAGATACTAACAACCTAGTGGGATACTTTTTTTGAAAAACTATAGATTCACGTTCGATTGCATGTGACGGAAGTTGTTCTCAAAAGTAGGGATTTCTAGCATAGCTGGCGTAATTCTTTCCAAAAATACGTTTACGAAAGTTCTTTCAATGATGATTTAGGTTTTGTTGGGGAAGAAAATTGCAAGAATTGAAATCTAACTATATAATCCCAAAAAATCCTCTATGAGGCATCGAAAACTCTTCAAGCTATCAATTGACTTTAAAAAACATCGTAAAGATACGAGAAGTTGTTCATTGGCAGCTAGAAATATACTTTTTCGAACAAGGATGTGGTTTTTTCCTTCGGAAAGACAAGGTTTTGGGAAGCGTTAGCGTTAATCTTGCTAAAATCATACATAGAAGACTCGTATTTGTGATATTTTGAGGTTTTTCGATAACAGTGTTCTTGGCAACAATTTTTAGTGGCAGTAAATACTAACCAACTTTTTTACGGTTTTTTTTTCATCTTCAAAACCAAGATTAGGTCAGATTGAAACCTAATCAATTTTAACTTGCTCTTAGTCAAACACTTTCTTTTAGCGGGTAAACGTGATGAACAAATTATAGTTACAAAATTTTTTTTGTTAATACCTTTCTCCTAAGATTATAAAAGTGCTTGTAGACTGTGAGTCAGTTTAAAACCTTCTAGGTTCAAAACAAGATGAAACCGCTATGACATCGGCCTTTATTATGTGTTCAGTTGCATTCACTAAATTACATCATGAGCAACCTCGCATCTGTTCATCAATAATATTATGTGTTCAGCTGCATTCACTAAATTTCATCATTAGCAACCTTGCATCTGTTCATCAGCAAAAACACTGAATTATGCTAATCAGTGCCGAGATTGATAAATGGACTAAGCTCCTCGAAATCACTGTAAGTGTTTCAGGCGTTTAAACATGAAGTGCCTTCAATTTACCTGTTGATCGCATGAAGTTCAGTCTTTATGGGTTGTTATAGCGAATTCTTGATAATTATTATATTGATCGACACTTTTGTGGAGGCGCAACTTCGACATGATCAAAAAAAAAGCGAACAATTACTTCAGGCTGCTTCAAGGAGGCAAAAGGTGACCAAAGGAAAGCAAAAGAAGGAGGAATACAGATTTTAAAAAATCTCAAGTAGATTTTTGCTGCTATTATTCTGGTTTCTAGTATGAAGCTGTTTCGAAGCTGCTTTGAGATTGCTGCACGCAGCGCGATGCGAGAAATTCGCTGTAAAACGCACAAAGGAGAGGCGTAATCTTATCTTTATTATTAAAGTGCACTAAAAAATATTTTCGAAAGCGGAGCACATTTTTCAAAATTACTGAGAATTGAGTTACATGATGACTATTAGGAGGAAAATGCGAAAAAATCTCACTTACGAAGAGTCATAAAAAGGTTGCGGGAACTTTCGACTGGAAGGAAGCAAAAAACTGATCTCATACTCTGGCGAAGAACTTCTCACAGAAGCGCTAGTAACCTTTCGAGAGCTGAGACGTAAAGTCACCGTCCCACCCCGCTGGTTTAAAACACCCTTTTATAACGTTGTAGAGTACAGGTCATAGATTACGTTTTACATCGCCTTTACCTTCACTTTTATGCCGCATATAATTCGCTTGAAGACGAAAAGCATATCAATGTGTGGAGAAGTCTTTCTACTATCTTAGTCAATTATTTTCGGTCTAGTTTCTTCAGAATTGAAATAACAATTCTTAATTAAATTAGAAAACATTGATTGCCCCCCTCACTCCGCCCCTGTCCCGTCTCTTGCCACGGCCTTCGCCTTTTCAATAGTGTGCAGGCAACGGTACCACGAATGTCAAACTCGATCTTATTTTCCCTACTACACCGCATTTTGAGAAAATAAGCACATCGCCAAAATCAGAAAACATTACGCTATCAGGTCTAATTATTAATAGCCTAAGAAAGAGCTCTGCCCAGCCAGGTCTAAAGCACAAACCAAAAAAGCCAGAGGAGATCAAAAAATCAAAAGAGCTTTTTAAAAATCTTACACATTTTGAGTTCTTCAAAGCATTTGCTAAGTTTGAGCACTAACAATTTAAGGAAGGAGTTTGTTTAGTGAAACATAAGCGAGGGAAGAGAGGAAAACATTTGGTTTTATAAAACATAATTTTATTCTAAATGCTATAATGTTATAAAAAAGTGTTTCAAAGACTGGGGACTTGGGACTGTAGCCACAAGTCTCAGCTTACGAAGGATTACTAAAACTTCTACAAAAAAGTTCTTCTCCAGCGAGTGACATGAATTTTTCATTTGTTCCCTCCTAATCAGAAAGAATCGGGTCGCCATGGCAGTATAGTATCCATAATGTTAATGCTTTTTCAGATTATACTTCTTATACCACTTTTATATCTGCTTATAGTGGGTCGACTGCTTGCAAATAGATCATTATTTCTAAATAGAGTGAAGGTTCTGTCATACTAATCCTTTCATTCCTTGAGCTATCAAGTAATCATACTTATCGTCCTGGGAGGCAAATGCTTCTTTTATTTGGGAGTTCATTAGATAAAACTTTATACTATCTTGTTTTCGCCATATTATTTTCGAAGATTTGAGAATCTTTTCCCTTTCAAAGATGCGGTGTTTTAGAAGAGCATTCTCACTTTCGCGCGCATGTGGCACTGTGATTAGAGGTGCTGTGCTGCGCACAAAAGATCATTGGTTCGATCTCGTGCTCATAGCTCACCAAGTCATCAATCCTTAAGAGGTCGATAAATTAGTAACAGATTAGTCTCAGACTTGTCTTGGAAGATAAGCAGCACTGACTCGATACAAGTGGAGGCCACCGCGAGTCATTGTAAAGGCAGATATGCGTTCAATCACCTCAGATGTGTTTGAAATAAAAACGAATACATGGCGCATCCCTCAGGGACTGATCAACGCCGAAAGCTTTATCCCTTATCCTTCATGCTTGTATCGCTGGCACACGCAATCACGCCATACCTCATATAGTAATACACTAACACAAGCAATCACTCTATATAATTTATATCACCATTTTAATGCAAGAAATACAAAAATCTTCATGAGAAGAAAAAAATTTTTAAATGCCTAGCAGAAAATCCACGCAGGGCGATCAGTGCCAAACACAATTTGCTTTTCTTGTGACACTGTAAGAATGCTTTTTCAAAAACCACGTGTGATTTCGAATTACCGAAATTCACGCCATTGAACGAGCTTTCACAATTTAAGGGAGGTCTGGAAAACACGCGTGATAACGCGGAACGCTTGTCAAAACAACTTTTATAATGCTGCTATAGCGGTGCGAAAAAGCATTTCTATAAACAAAAACATTTCTGAAATTTTGAGAATCAAGACTACCTAATGATCAGTAACGCTTTGGAGAAAGAGCTCTGTCCGGCGAAATACAAATATCACAATTCTCGTGTGAAACATAATCTATTTTCATCCTGTGGTGCTGTAAGATGCCTTTTAGGAAGCATGTACAATTCTGAGTCCTCCGAGATTTCAGCTTTCGACACTTATTGTTTAGTTATTGTTCAAAATCAGTGAAAAGTCTTTGTGCGGGAAAAATGATTTCTTACGAAAATCCCTGCTCGCCAACAGAAAGATACCCGAAATTTTGTAGCGCTTACAATGAATAGTAAGAACTGAAGCACTTTGTTAAATAACCTTTTACATCAAGTTTTTATTTCCAAAATCAAGATCATCTCTGCAGAAGGCTCTGATTGTATCTTTTGAGTGCAGATTAAGTGCGGATACTTCATACTGATTAGTACTCATGAGCTTCTATCCGAGAGTGGGAATATTTGGTGCACGTTAGCAGTCCTCTATTTATTGCCATGGCCTGGTGGCATCACTTCACATGCCAACACTGTCAAGATTGTAGCCAGCAGCGCAATCATGACTTGATCGAATTGATGTCTCGTTATGTTTGTGCAACTTTTTATTTTATCTCTTAAATATTAAGGCAAATACTCTATACTGAACCGGAAGCAAATTTCCTTTTTTCGCATCATATTAATCATTAGTAACTTGCTACCATGTCTACTAACATTTTTTTCATTCCAAAAAATGAGTTTTCATGAATGAAATGGCGCTGAGAAGTTCCAGACCATAAACGGTTGGCTGTTGACAGATAACGCTTTGTAGCGTAGATAGAGTGCTGTGTAGAACGATCGTCGGTTGAGCAACGGTTAGCACACGCTCCCTGAAAGAGTGAGATCTGGGTTCGAACCCCGGCTAACGCAAACGTTTTCGCACAGCACTCTACACTAGTCTTTTTAGTTTGGCAGTGAGATATCCAACAACGAAATTTTGAACAGGCTACCCGTTGCGGTGTTTACTTCGTTTACAGGCTATACAAGCTGGTAAGAAGAAGTGATACTGACTTTTATATCAAACGAAAACTGGAGATGAAGGTTAGTCAAGCGCTGTGAAAGTGACGACATGAGAGGCATATAATGTATGTCAGAGCTAAAGCCTCCGACATTTTGTAGCGACAATTTCTCCCGTAAATAACAAGCTTTTTGTCGCTGTTCATATGTCGGTCATTCTGATTCGTTTCTGGTAGGACGATTACATGAATTTTATGTTATCACCAAGCTGAAGGCGAGAGTATAGAATGACATTTGACGAAACCGCGCTTGCAAAATGTAAGAAAAACAAGAACTGATCTCATAGCGTGTCGTATACTTGTTTGCTTTGTCCATCCCCAATTACGTCCCACTGAACCCAAAATTTGATTCTTATTTGTAAGTGAATGTGGAGTTACATAGTTCATGAGTAGTTGTGGCGTGAAATTTTATTACTTAGAGTAATGATTGATATTACGCCTGAACTTCCCGAATCATCTCTGCTATTCTTGAGACGTTTTCAGTTATTGGATGATCAAATAAGATTTTTTCTTATTCAACTGCTCTTAGAAGTCGTATACTGTTACAATATACTGAATGATGTAGAGTGATGTACAAAACTTTCGCATCAACTAAAACTTGATCCCATATTTCATCCTCTGCAAGGATGCGGGTTCGAACCGTTCCACTACAGACACCTGTTTCTACGCTTCTTCCTACGATACACTGCATCTATTCCAGAAACCAACCGTCAACTGTTTGGTCCACATAGTAGGTATCGACACTGAGATCATTCACTGATAGATATTCTGTTTTGGATGATCAGACAGTGCTTTTTATTTAACCGCTTAGCGGTGGCATGATAGTTCAACATATCCAGTAGAGTGATGTGTAAGCCTTTTGCGTCAGATGGCGCTCAAACCCGCATTTCACCTACGAGGAGTGAGGGAGGGGGGTGCGTGCTCGAGCCGTTGCACTACCGAGGGCACGCGCTCTGGTTAGGGTGAAATGCGGGTTTAAGTTCCAACTGACGTAAAGGTTTTGCACATCACTTTATTTTATTGGGTACAATCCCTTTTAACTTCTCGAAGTTCTATGATATTCAAGATTATACCTCCGAAAAACGCTTTAAGCAGATGTAGCGCATTCAAAACATCTATCCGTGAACCGTCTCGAATCAAATTCTATTTCTGAGCTATCGATTGATCGTTAAACGTCTAATAGAAAAGTTGCGAATTAGGTCAGAAAGTGCGTGCGCATTGTAAAAATGATGTACAGTCAGAAATGTATAGCATCTAATCATTGTGCACGATCATGAGAGGATTGATATGGAGTTGATCCAAGAAAGAAAAAAGACGTAAAGACACACACCTTTCCTCTTAACTCAAAAGATTTTGTTGTGTCAAATTAATCGTTAATAGAAGATCTCAAGCGTTGTTTTACCGCTGGCGGTACCTACATGAGAGGCAAAAGTACGGTAAGTAAAAGAGCAGTAGAGCTTGGTGTAACTTGTTCATTTATTCTGTCATTTGAGAAAATCGAAAAACCTAGAAGGCCGAGAAGTCAAATGCCGCTTGAACTCAACGATAATCAAATAATTTGTCAAGCGAAACATTTCGTCATTCGGCAGTTCAATTGAAATAACACAGAGCTACTTGTTCAGCTCCTTCTAACATTCATAATTTTCTTCTTAGAAGGGTCGATGGCTTAATGACATTGATTGCGCTTTTTTCGGATTTCTCAGATAATCCTTATTGCGGTAATTTTGGAAATAATGTAAAACCACTGAAGAGTTGACGACCGTTACACGAATGGAATGCGACAACATTTGTGCTGAGAAATTTTGGGTTCCTTCTGATTACGAGGGAACAAACGAAAAAGCGATCTCATTCGCTGAAGAGAATCTTTTCAAAGGAGTGTTGGTAACCACTCGAAAGCGAGGACCTCAGGCTACAGCCCCACGTCGCCGGTTTTGTCAAATCACCCTTTTGAAAAGACAGGATCTCCACACAACACTAGCCCATATTTCTCACTGAAAAGAGCATTTGCTTTGATGTAGTAGTTGTTCGATATCGTTTTTCTGATTCTAACTATGTGTTTATATCTTAAAAAGATCGTTTCTCTGGAAGACAGCAGTCGAAATAATTTAAATTCGATATGTGGGACGACGTGGAGTCATTCAACTCGCTGTGGATATAGCTGTCAAGAGACTGATGACGCAGTACTTCTCTGCCCTTTAAAAGCTAGAAAAGGGTGTTGGTATCAGGAATCACTACTTAAAAATTTTATATGAGTTACATGAGTTGCAAATCAGCGAAAATGATTCTCAAAGTAAAATTTCATTTCATGATGATGCCGGCACCAGAATGCTCTTAATAGCACTCCATGTTTCTTGAAGAAAGCGATAGCTTTTTCTTCATCATGGGGCGTAGCAAGACGATTTATTACCATATCCTTTCATTATTATTTGAGCTAACATCTTAAGTGGTTTGGTAAGGGCTCTTCCACAGCCCGATACACGTGTTTTGTCCTTAGAGACTCGTCAGTCCTGCAGAACCCGTCGTCTTTCGATCTTTTTATCAGTCAATTCTCACGTGAGCCTGCTCCCTCTGCAGTGAGATATCAAAAACGAACGTTTTAAACTCTATGTTAAGCGAAACTTTTACCTAGCCCAGGCTGTTGTGAATTCGATTGCTCTTTGGCTGGTATTCGGGGACTGTAGAAGAGCCCTTATCAGACCATATGACATGTTGCTCAAAAAATAATGAACGCAAAATATTGCCAAAAACGATTTACAGGGTCAATTGTGCTTTGTTTCTCTAGATCATTATCTGCGTTTACAGATTTCTTTCAAAGAACACTTATAATTTTGGGGCATATTGTCGACTGCGGATATTTGATTTTGGGAAAGTCGAAATTCTATGTCGCAGCATAAGAAATGAGAAGGAGGAACCAAATTTCAGTCACATCACACGAGAAATTGACGTATTCGCTGCAATTTTCCATTGCTTATTCTCCCTCACACTGCTTATTGTCAGTCCACAACTGACATGCGTTTCATTTGATTAAGCGATTCCCATATACTTCGGATGGGCAGATTCTGTCACAAAAAGCGATTCAAAAATTTCTACTGTGGCTTATGTTGGCTGATAACACCTGAAGCTCCTAGAAAACTTGAAGAGCTGCCGGATGTCACACGTATATGTGCTGAGTGCCCAACCCATTGTCACTTTGTGAGCTATCTAATAAAAATAATGATGAAATTGTTTCTATTTTAGCCTTCGATACTGGCTTAAACTTCTGCGGAAAGAAACAAGCATGTCAAAGTTTTCGGTCGGTTTCTTTATGATTTCGCTGCTAGTAACAGTGTGGACAGCGCCTGGATGTGGAGTGATGCCTGCAGGTCAAGGTGATGAATAAATGATTAGTACAGTAATACGGATATTTCCATTCTTGAATAAATGTTAATGAAATTTGCTCGAAATAAGTATATCTAATACTTCATCAATACATTTATGGGTGATGTCTACATGCCGAACATTTAACTCCAAGCAGGAGTTCAGTTGGAGTTTCAACCATACCTAAAGCATTTCAGTATAAACTAACGAGGCTGTCGGCAACTAAACTTAACGGGTTCAGTTTTGCAAGCGCATATCACCATTGTACTTTTAATATCACAGAGTATAGTCAAAGATAAAATGCTCAAGAGAAACGAACAAAATATAAGGCGGTTTATAATCAGGATTCAATTCCAAACCAAGCATCAATAACCACGAAATCAGTTACAGGTAGCAGGAGAACTTTCACTGTCAGTGGCTTCACTTTGCCCCTCAACATGGTTTACACTGGAAGCTCTACGGCTTCTGCTCGGGTCCCTAATATTGCAGCTAACAAGGACGCAGCTCAGGATTTGTATCACGTCTTGTAATGCAAACATATGCCTACAGCTTTTAATAAAGAAAGGCAAGCTTCTAGACTTCAATCTGATTTTTGATTGCTCTGGCATGCGTAGGAAGTAAGCTTAAATTCAAGACTGTTTGCCAGACTTATAGTGCTTCCATTGCTTTCTTCACTTTTAATATTTCGATTTAAAAGCCCAAATAAGCGCTTCAAACAAATCAGAGTGTCTCTTTAATAGGCTTTTGATGTTCTTGAAAGCCAAGGACCTAGCGCACTCCTCCCTGATGCTGTGATTTCATCTATTTTGAGTCAACTTGCTGTTAACATCACTAACGAACCATTGCTATGTGCGGATGTTATACTTAATCCAATGACGGATACAACTGAGTCTACTAAGTGTAAATCCATCAAGAGATTAAGAAGAACTACAGCATTCTCTCACAAAGTTAAACTGTGTTTACTGCTGCCCAAAAAAAAAAACCATTTTTCAAGAAATTTTTGGGAAGATTTCTTAAGAGAAGAGAGGAACTATTAGAATAGCACTGAATTTATAATCACCACATCGATGATCTTATTCAGTTGAGTCTTACATATAGTTTTCTGGCAATGGTATAGTGTTTAAGGTGTGAGGTATTGGTTCAAATGGGTTGAGAGGATGTAAAAGATTCTGTTTTTTTCAGCTTTCATTGTAATGAAAAGAGGTATATTTTTATGGCTCAGAGTTTCTTGCAGTGGGCATGATAAACCAGAAGTGCATCGTTTTCGGAAACACGGTGACGGGAATTTGCACTGAACTAATGCAGGTGGAATGTGTACGCCGATGCCCATGAATGCAATGGGGACACCCGTTACAGAAAATTATACTTCAATTTCGGAACTCTCAAGATTTGAACATCTCTTCACTACGTATAAATTCGCCTAATAATGGAATAATTTTGTAGACTACAAATATCATCATGTCAAATTGGCCGAGAACTTTGTGGAAAAGTGTTCTAAACAGAACTATTCGAATGTTGGCATCGGGCCCATTTGCATCGCACTTCTTCTCGACATCAGTCGCTGTCAGTTGAAATTAAGATTGAATTGCGATATATTTGAGTCTAACATTTTCATCAAACCGATAATTATTGTTACACTGCAGAAGGAATAAATTAGCAAATCAATGGCTGTTGATTAGTCAAAGCAATACAGCATATCACATTCATGTGCACAATATGATGAGCTTGGATGTCAGTACAATATGAACAGGACTTGCTGTAGTTCTACTCATAAAAAATACCTCACAAGTTTGTAATTACAATATACAGGAAGGAGTTCTGTCTGTCTATAATTCGAAAAATGCTCTATCATTCTCCCACTATTTTCCTATAATATCTAGTTAGGAAAGAAATACGAATGAAAGACAATGAAAAATTTAGAATGAATTACCGAACTATGATCTGCTACGACAGCACATCTAGACTTTATTCAAAAGCATACCAACCGATCCACTGAAAAGTGGACATAACTGAGAGCTAGATAAAATTGGAATAGCACATTTTTCTTTATGCATCCAATTATTCAGAGCTGAATGCTATTGAGTGATCAGGAACAAATCCACGATTTTGTGAAGATGCTTCTCATATCCGCTATGTAAACCAGCTAGCGAAAATATAAATAAAAAGGGTTGCAACTTTTAAATTAGAGACGTGTTGAGGAACTTTCCCTGGAAAACCCATAATTGAAAAATAGCAAAGTCATATATGTTTGAAGAATGGCACGTATACAGAACGACGAGGCTATCAAGGCCGAATCACGTGCATCGGGCTTTATAAGTCGTCCTGCAAAAGACCACATGATTGGCTCAAAAAAAAGATTGACAGTCTTCATTGAAAAATTTTAAACGTTCCCGATTTCAAGCCTGCATTTGAAAGAGCTACAATCGTGTTTTTTAAAGAATGATGAAAGGGAGAATTTACATTTGAGCTTATGTTCAAGCAGTACAGATATTATAATTATATGTCCATTGATGTTGAGTGACATGCATATCTTGAACTCTGGGAAAAAAATGAAAGTTGTCTTACTTAATCCGAAATGGCATGCTCATCCCTGAGCTTCTGAACTATGTTCTGCTATCGTGCTAATTGCGATAGAAGGTCGATTCTGTCAGCAACGGATGAATTAAAATAGAGGTCAACAAAATCGGCACGAACTTTACGTTTTTGCTGCATGATAGCGCACAACTTCATTCTACAAAACATATCGAAAACGTCACATGAGAGCTGAGGTGGGAAGTTTTAGATAGTTTCACATTACCCCCCATATTCTTCCGAGAATACAGCGTCAGATTATTATTGGAAACCACCAGATTCTAAATACAAATTAGCAACTTTTGAAAATATGGTGTTTTACAGACACAAAGTAGTTATCTCCAAAGTCCTGAAAGCCATTATATGAGCTATTTTGTATGTAAAAGAACACGATATAATCTGATATGGATATAACATGTTTTGGTCTGTTAGGTCTAGTGGCATACAGGAGCCTGCTTCGCCTATTGAGACTCATCAGTATCACCCTCCCTTGGTTCAGCCGATCCCCTGAGGTTAAATAATCCTCTATAAAGGAGTAAAAAACCGAGGGAGGGTGGTATTGATGACTCCCAATAGGACGAATCAGGCGCCTCTATGGCATTAACCTAACAGCTCAAAACATATCCCTTTATCAGATTATGTCATTTTGAGCGAGTTTATAGAAATCGGTCGATAGAAGAGGTATGATTCATTACAACAGCTACGTGCACGACTGCTAGCTACCACAGTGTCAGATACTACACCATCTGACTTGGGGTGATTTTTTACTCGGCGTCTATTCCTTCATAGAGGATTATTTAAGCTCAGGGGATCGGCTGACCCGAGGGAGGGTGGTACTGGTGAGTTCCAGTAGGGGAAACAAGCGCCTGTGTAGCACTAAACCTAACAGGTCAAACCAATTAAATTCTTATGAGATATACTATTTTGGGTGGAGCTGTGAAAAAGCGGTCGATAGAAGAGGTATGTAAAACAACAAATAAATAGCGTTTTGAACGAACTTCCAAATAAAAAAAAGAGATTATGTATGCCTATTTTTACTATTATTAGAGCAAAAAACAGCGGAGTCATATTTGCACAGCTCATAAGATGATAGTCTCAGAAACTGTGAAGGAATTAAAGGAAAATTGGCTATAAATGGCATAACACCTCATCTTAGCTGAAGGTGTTCCTGAGTGTCGGATCGCAAGGAACAGCAGGTATTCAATTCCTCGGCAGGCCTCCCAAGCTGAGAAGGAATCCGATGTTCCCACTCGAAGGGACCAGCTAAAACCGAGCCGTACCAAGAAACATCAAATCTAAATGACTACTAGTCGTTAGATGATAATCTACCTCCAATACACAAGAGCCGAAGAGTACCCTTCGTGGTGATAGCGTGGTGAAGCCCTGACTAGAATAACTTTGGTATTTCAGAGTAAGAAAAAATTCAGTTGATCCAGCAAGAAAGTTCCTGCCTCAATATCCTCAGTGCCTCAATATTCTAGGCACTTGGTTCGCTCATCTACGACATCGCGCAGTGAGACAGTCGATGAGACGCAATCATATCTCGAGTTCAGTAGGACGCACTGGAAAAGGGCGGAACGAACACGCCTGTGGCACGTTATGGAGACTACTTTCACTCTACACCTGTAAGATCAAAACAGCCTTCTCAGGCCGCTGCCCATATGCACTTCTTAAAGCTGCTTGTCACATAAAATTTCGTGTAATTGCCCAACAAGAAACTAAAAACAAAACGATCAACAAAGACTATTATTCAACAAAATTCTCGTGCTTCGTAGAGCAAAGTTTATTCGGTGTCAGAGGCATCGGCTTTGTCGCTTACTTATACGTCACCCACCTTGACACTTCGTGCAAAGCCCTATCACCGCGCCTGGCTAAGTTACGCCTCCGACTTCCACGTCAAAAGATAGTCATTATCATCAAGTGCTATTCATCAACTTGTATGTACGGTAAGAGCGTATCAGACGCTTTCTACAAAGTAAAAAAGTCATTTACGACGAAAGTACTGCTACAGGAAATTCTTTTCATTTAACCGTTTCATAGCGGAGTTATTATTTATAAATATCGCCAGTGATGATGAGCGACGTGAAAACTTTTCCATCAGACCGGGCTCGGACCCATATTTCACCCCCGACGTTTCTTTTGTCACCACGCTTAATACTTCGACGCAAAATTTTGTACATCATTCAGCATCACTGCGTATACTGCTACAAATTGATTGTTGGAGAGTTCAATGATAGATTAGGTGCTAGCAAAGATAAACACAGAATAGGAAAATTCCGTACTGGAGAAAGAAATGAGATTGCAAACCACTTTGTAGGACTTTGTCTGCTGCACGTCCCTTCCAATGAAAACTAATTTTTTCAGAAAAGGGCATGTGCCAAGATCATGGGAAACTTCCAAGACACGACTAATTATCGACTATACTTTTACAAGCAAGAATTAGTGCCTCTTTGGCAGCACAGTAGCTCCTGGATTCTGTACGGGACCTGACAACCGTGGTTTACAAGAGAAAAACTGAATTCAACAAAAAGCTGGAAAGAATGTGCTACTATTGCCCAGTAAAAGCAGGACAAGTTTCCATGACACGGACATTTTGAACAGGATTTTCTTTTATGATAAGAAGCTAGAGGATGACCCAATCAAAGAAAATGAGCTGCTTGTTGATGTGTTTGAAACCTGTATCGAACTAGCATCAGTTCCACCAATAGAAAGTAAATATCGCAACTGTGCTATCACTAAGGATAAAGAAGGGAAGTAAAGCCTAATCACATTGTAGCAAGACTAATTAGGCTGTATGCCAGTTATAGAATACTTGGAATTCAAGCTGATATAAGCAAAAAAGAGAGCATATGGCGCAGCGGTGAGAGGTGTTTTGCGTCACACACAAGGTCGATTTTTCGATTACACGTTCATGGCTCAGTAAGACATTCACCCCTCCGGGATCGGAAGATCGGTACCAGACTGGTCTTAAACTTGTTTAGGATGATGAGCGGCATTGACTCCTCACAGCGGGAGGCCACCGCGAGTCATTGTACAGGCCAGATATGCATTCGGTCATTTCAAAAAAAGTTAGAAATTCGTCACACATGCAGATTGCTGCGCAAAAGCATTTGCGTCAGTCGGGATTTGAATCCAGATCTCACTCTTTCCGCGAGCGCGTGCTGAACCGTTGCGCTACCGACGCTCGTTTCGCACAACACTCTTTCTACGTTAGAACGCGTTATCTGTCAACAGCCAACCGTCGGCGGGGTCTGTGGTTCAATGGTTCAATGCCGATAGCGGCTGCCTCGTCAGACCGTCAACGGTTGGCTGTTGACGGATAACGCATTGTAGCGTAGAAAGAGTGCTGTGCGAAACGAGCGGTGCAACGGTTCAGCACGCGCTCTCGTAAAGAGATCTTCGTTCGAATCCTGGCTGACGCAAATGTTTTTGCAGAACACTCTAGATCATTGGGTATATTATAAGATCATACCATTGCAAGGAACCGTCAAATAAATGAATTGCGATTGAAGACACAGCGATGACTCATTCCTCAACGACTGGTCAACGCCGAGAGCTTTATCCTTTATCCTCTAATAGAAGTTGCACATTGATGACAATATATTTTGGATTACGGTTTGACAATACCGATGATGATGTTATGCAATACGAGCTGCAACTGCGTTGCTATTCCATGGATGTAAGTCGCACTGGAAAGTAGGAATTTTCAAGACAAATGGGAGTTCTTTCCACTAGAATTACATTCATAAGGGATAGGAAGGGCTCTCGGCGTTGATCAGTTCCTGAGAGATGCGTCATACATTCGTTCTCAATTTTGAACTACCTTTGAGTTTATTGAATGCATATCCGGCATTTACAATGACTCGCAGAGGCTTCCCGCTCGAGCCAGCGCTGCTTATGCCTGCAGACAAGTCTGGCACAAATTCACTGACTATAAAGAGACGGAGAGCTTGGTGAGCAATGAGTGCGAGATCGAACCAATGACTTCGTGCACTATGCAAGACATCTTTAACCAACTCCACATGTGCTACTGGGCACCTCGAAATTTGATTGCATTTCAACGATTGCCTCACTGCGCGATACCGTAAACGAGAGCACGGAATGTGCGCGATATTGAGGAAGAAAATTTCTTGCTGGATCAGCTGTTTTTCTTACTGTGGGCATCAAAGTTAGCTTAGTCAAGGCCTACATTACGTCAATACCACATTGGGGTGTCGTCACCTCTTGCGGATTAGAGGTGGAAATTCACCTCACGACTTGTAGCCACTTAGATGGGGTGATTCCTGGTACGATTCACTCAAAGCTAATCTTCTCAGATGAAAACATCGGATTCTTTCTTAACTTGGAAGACTCGCTAAGGAGCTGAACTCCTATTGTATTTTGCGGTCCGACACTCAGGTACACCTATCTTTCAGCCACGATGACGCAGTATACCATTTAAAACCAATTCGCTGTTATTCTATAAGTTCCTTGAGATCATCATTATGTTGGGCTTAGAAATATAACCCGGCTATTTTTGTCCTCTACGTTAGTAGAAATAAGGACATGCAAATCTTTTTTGTGTGAAAGTTTTCTAAAAATGCTAATTGCTTATGTGTTCTTTACATATGAAATATTTCACTGTCGATCTAGTGAATTGTTTCACTTGACGGCGCGTGTAAATCGTTACTCTCTGATAGGGATGTTAGGGGCTTTCGAAAGGATTGGTTAAGGCGATGAACGTGCCCGACTGACGAAGCTGCACGGACAAAAGTCGTGTGTCGGGTTGTACAATTGCCCATTAACAGACCATATGACATTTGGCTCAAATGATAACTATGAGATATATTCAAAATATTTCATATGATGGTTTTCATGAGATTTTGAAAATGGCAACTATAAACCGAAAAAACGCCATTTCTTTTAACTTGCTAGGTTGTAATTCAAATTTGGCAATTCCAAATGGTAATCTGGCAGTCTAATGCGGGAGTGTGAGGCGGGTACGGTAACACCTCCTAAAACCTCCCACTGCAGCTCTTTTATGACGTCTTTGATAGGTTTCTGCAACATGAAGTTAAGCGTTATCAAGCAGCAAAATTGCAGAGTTTGTGCCGTTGTTGTTTCCTTCGATTTTGATTCAACCGTTGTTGACAGAATCGATCTTGTTCTCATATAGAAAAACAGCATCATAGAGTCCGACAATGCTGTGATAAACACGTTTTTTTCAGATTGAGTAAGATGAGTGTTCATTTTTTGCCTAAGGTTCGAGATTTACGCGTCACTTAACATTACTGGACATATAATCAGAAGATACATCACTGCTTGAAAAAAGCGCTCAGATGAAGAAGTTTCGTTTCCTTTCATCATTTGTTGAAAGACACGACTGCAGCTTTTCCAAATGCAGGAGCATGATTGAGAGCGTTCAAAATGTTTTAAACATTTGCAACATTGCTGATTATCGGTCATGCGTTTTTCAGAAAAGATTCCACATGAGGATCGCTATGCAAAAGTCGCAAACGTTTTCAGTTCTACTTTCGCTAACGGGCTTACAGAGCGGACATGTGAAGCATCTTCATAGAAATGCTTAGTTGTTCCTGATCATTCAATAACCTTTGAGCTCTGAACACATGAATGCATGAGGGAAAATGTGTTTTAAATGTAATTTAGCCAACTTTAGCTCTTAGCTATGTCCACTTTTCAGTGGGTCGGTTGAATATGTTTTTTGAATAGAGTCTCAAAGTCCTATCGTAGTAGAGCACAATTCACTAATTTGTTCGAAATCTTTCATTGTCTTTCATTTGTAATACGTTTCTAAATAGATTTTGTGGAACTAATAGTAGGAGAATAACGGAGCATCTTTCGAATTATAAGCAAACAGAGGTCCATCCTATGTTCTGTATTTACAAACTTACGTAAATTTCTTCATGAAAGGCCCTACAACTAGTCCTGTTCATACTGCACTTAGATCCAAACTTATCATATCGTGCACTGCAATGTGGTCTGCTGTATCATTATAACTGATCAACAACTTCATGACCTGCCAGTTTATTCCTTGACTCTAACATATTGCAATTCAATCTTAATTTCCACTGACAATGACAGATGCCCAGAAAAATTGTGATGCAAATGGACCCGATGCTAATTTTCGTTGCTCTGTTCAATACACTTTGCCACATTGTTCTCGACCAATTTGCCATAATGATATTTGTAGTCTACACAAAACTGTTCCTCTACGAAAAGATTCTGTACCAAGTTACCAGCTATTCAAACCATAAGAGTTCAGCTCGTTCGCAGCTTGGGAGCTCTCAATTGGTATACCACGATAGAATGTTAAGGCAGTCCGGAAGAGTATTATAAGAAATAAGAAGTAATTTTTTGAAAGTACAGATATTAAGGCAAATTTATGTTCTCCACTTTATGAAAGTTGATTTTTTTCCATATACTTCTGCTACCAACTGCATTAGAATCGCCTCTTTCCGATTATAAGGAAACAAATGAAAAACTGACCTCATTTGGTGGAGGAGAAGTTTTGATAGGAGTTTTGTTAACCATTTGAAAGCTTGGACTTCAGGCTAGCGCTCCACGCTGCTCGTTTGAAAGAAAAAACCTTTTTTGACGTTGCTACAGGAGGAGATTTCCTGCGCAAAAGACGTGCATATTTTTGCCGGAGAGAGCACTTCCTCTGGAGTTCTAGTGATCATTCGATAGCATGATCGTTTCTGATGCCAAAGATGTGCTTATATCATGAAAGGACCGTTTCTCGGAAACGCAGCAGGTACAATAGGTTGGGTTGTTATATGCGAGAAGGTAACCGTTGGCCACTCTCGTGACCGCCTGGCGGTGGCGCCCTGTGAATAGCTGCTGACGCGATAATCGATCAATTTGCTATCATCCTAATTCTTATCACAAGTTTATCACAAAATTCTAATAGTTTTTCTGTAAAATTTTGTGCCTGGTTAGTACGAGACTTGTCCGGAACGAGGTAAACTGCTACAACCAGGACAAGGCGGAGAAGCCTTAGTTGGATATTCCGGGCTTCCTTCAAGGCGGCAGACTAGTCTCCAGCATAATCCACGAAAAAGACGGAAATTTTTCAAGTTGTAGCGGAACCGCTGGGAGCGCCGTGACCGAGTGGTTATGATGCTCTTCGCGGCGCGCGGAAAGCGGAGCTTAACTTCTCAAACCTCTCCAGCAGTCAACAACAATGCCTTATCTCTGTTATCTCAACAATAGAACTCCACAACCACAACCATCCTCGAGATTGCAAGGTGATTTGCTCAATCAGTATTCTACGATATTGAAGAAGAAGAAGAAATAACCAATTGAATGTTAAAAGAACTGGGATCCGCACTGAAAAAGGACGCTATGAAGAAGAATTAATAAAGTATCTAAAAAAGCAGCGGAACTCACATGTCAAAAATTATCGTTATGCGTTTGTGCCCAAGATGTACTTAAAGGAGTACTTGATAAATTTTAAACCCTTCTAGGTGTTCTCTTATGCGCCCACATAGTAGTTCACTCGTTTCTCCAATATTTCTATCACCGCATGCTTTACAAGAGATGCAGAGTAAGAAGCAGTTTATGTCATGTTGTGAGAATACTCGTTCGGTTTTTTAGATGTTGGAGTCAAGAATGGCTCGTATCCTATCAATACTCTCAGCTCCTGATGTTTTCGACGGAGTACCCAGTGTGCGAGGTACTCTGGCAGAATTTAAGTGGATAAGTAAAACTTCTCAGTGTCGGTTTGCCCAAGTGGGCTTTTGATGGAAGCCACAAATTTTTTTAGCTCAAAAAACCATACTAGATGATTAACCTTCCGCTGTTATTCATAGTCCGGCACAGCGATCACTTCTTACAGACGGTGAGGCGGCAAACTTGAGAGGGTTCTGATGTTAGTACATAAGAACTAGACTCAGATCCAATGTGTTTCGTTGTTCGTTGATAGACACGGCGGCAACTTTTGCGATTGCAGGCGTAGAGATGGTACCGCTTCATTCCTATAAATATCTATGACATTCTTACATATCATTTTTTTTTCATGAGACGCGTAAAGCTCCACAAGGTGCTCGTCAATCTATAGGATGCAGATGATTTTCCACTTTTACTTTTGGTAGCCTATTCCCATACTCAAAATGGGAAAAATCTTCTCAGGAACAAAGATTTGTTACTGTCAATTGAACCATTCGAGCTCTCAAAACCTAAATT